TAAATATATGTTAATTTTGATGGCACTAATCTTTAATTTAATTATGATTACAATAATATTTATGCGGTATAGCAAGTTAATTTGTGACTAATTTAATTAACGATCAATCTCAAAAAAAAAAAAGAAAAACAGTGCTACATGAAGTAAAATTCATTTGATGCAATTATATTGCCAATGTTATGAAGTGATTAATTTTTTATCATTTCCAATTAAATTGCCAGTGAATTTATAAGTATTTCATTCAGACATGATGGACCTAATCGAGAGGGTGCTCTTTTTTGTCGTTCTGGTACATGGGTGGAAATTCTGGACAAACGTACAGCTGAATATGAGGCTAAAACGAATGACTTATCAAGGCCAGAATATGTACGTGGTACACGTTTAGAAAATAGTCGATTCAGTATGTTGTTTTTATTCTTGAATTATTTCTATTAGGATTAGGAAGTGCAAAAATAAATTAAAGAAAAAAAATTATTAAATTATTAAAACAAACGATTAAATGTTAGCAATCTGTTAAATCAAACAATTAATACTAATTTTTATGATTATTATTATGAGAATTTTTACTTTACCTATTTGGTAATAATATTTCTAATAATTGAATAATTGTATTTGTAAGTATTTATTTTTATGATCGAATGTTTACTTTTGATGGTGATTTTAAAAGTTTAAATAATCTTTTAAAATAAATCCTAAAAAAAAAATTCAAATATACTGTATAATTTTTCACCATTTTTTAGATGAAAAATATGATATGAATTATCCATTCTTTGGTTTTTTTTTTTCTAGTAAGATAAAATTAATGACTTAAGATAAAATAATGTTGATTATTTGATGTTTTAGAAGTGTTGCTGAAATTTAAATTATCAATAATTATCAATAAATGAGCAATATTATGGAAAGGATTATTTATCGATAAATTATCAATAAATGAAATTATCAATAAATGAGCAATAATATAGAAAGGAAAAAATAAACTCGTTTTTTTAATTCTTTATTATCTTTTGATTTTTCTTCATTTAGTTACAAAATTTAGCAGTTCTTTTTGAATGAAATATGAAAAAATTAGCATATATATTTTATGGGTAAAAATAACTTAATTAATTGCACTTTTCAAATTATCAACTTTTTTATTTATCGTTTATATTTCTCTTCCTTTCTTGTTGGAATCTTTTATTTTACAATATTTAAAATATTTTACAATATTTAAAGTTTAAAAATAAGGAATTATTTGGACAATTGGAATGATTGGTATTTTAAATATATAAATGTTTATTTTTTTTTCTCCTTTTCTCACACATAACCAGACAATATTTAATTAATTTTTCTTTTTTTCCATTTTCTTTTTTTTTCATTTCCAATAATTTTAATTGAATACTATTTGTTAGTATGATATACTATCGTTTCTCTTATAATTTTTTTCTTTTCCATTTTCTTTAAAGGTATATTGGAATTCATATCGGTTGCATTTGGTTTAGTAAGTATACGTGGACGTGAATCGCAACGTTATTTATGTATGGATCGTGAAGGCCGATTATACGCTGCGGTTTGTTTTGTTTTTTTTTTTGATTGAAAACTATAATAAAAATTATTTAGTTACATAATTTAATATACAGTAATAATATTGATATCATAATTTGTTGGAAAAAAAATTTTTAAAGAAAATAAATGAATAATTAGCTAATAAAATAGCTAAAATTTAAAAGTACGA